GTGAAGCAAACTTTTCTTTTTCTGTCCACAGAGTCCAGTTAAATTAATACTAATAGGCGGAAATTTAAATTACGCTTTGTTTGTGCACTTTAAGTTGATTGTCTGGGTCTAACATTCAATAAGACTCCCCCCAGGATTGACTTTTCCCTTTTTTCCACAACACAGAGAACATCAAATAGGTCTCACAGGGCCCCAGATCCACACGGGGCACAAAGATGTTTCCTCAAAATAGGCAATCAATGTAAAAGTGAGTCTAAATTTCATGAATATGGTAAACTAAAGCAGTTCAACTCGAGTTTTACAGTCGATTTACAGGTTTCCTATTTCATGAATTAAACAAACTGAATGCATTAAATGCGATCTGAAGGAGTAGGAGAAAAGATTATTTTTCAGATGCATTAGTTTGCGTGAGCGATTGATTTAAAGCACTCCAGCTCTCAAGGTGAGCTGACTGTCACCTAAACAAAATACCAATCCCCTCGCGGGGATTCTTTACTTTAAATGGACTTAACTTAAGGTTGTTTTTCAGTTTTTCAAATCAAAAGGACAAATGAGAGAGTCGTCTGTATTTAGACTCAAACTGAGCATGTTACTCAAGTCAATATTTAAGAAACCAGATGTTTCTTAAATAAAGAAAAAAGAAGAAAAGAAAAAAAAAAAGAAACCAGATGTTTCACGCCATTGTGTGGCCACATATCTGCTATTACTTTAAAGACTGAGGAGGGGGGGGTATACCCTTATTTGAAGGGCATACAAAAGCACGGTAGCATGACTGGGTTTGGAAAAAAAGAGCATCTTAAAGAGTGCCACACCCAATATGGAGGAATATAAAAAAAGGAACATGTACCACTAATTAAAAGTGCCCAGAGGAGGCCATTTAAAAAACCCAGAACTCTAAAAACATTTAATAAGTTCATAGTTTGTTGATTTCCACACATCTCTTCTGAAATATTGTGTGGTGATACTTGCCTAATTTGAAAGGCACATGTGAAAACATTCCTCCAACTCAGTTTTTTCCTTTGTGGTAGAAAAAGAGCATTAAATCTCTGACGTCATTTTCAATTAACCATCCGTGCCTTTAAACAAGCAGCATGTGGCCAGAAGAAGGATTCCCGCTGTTATCCTGCCAGTGGAATCCAAGATATTTTCAGTTTTATTCATGAGGTGCCAATTTAGACACACACACACACACACACACACACAAATACACACACACGCGCACACACGCACATGTGTGAAAGAAATCGTTGCAATTTCTAACCTGAACGGATAACTTAGCATAGTTTTACATCCATCTAAAGCCCAAACTTGCTCATTCCAGAGCTGTGGGTGCCGGAGCCAATCAGATCTGTCATTGGGTGAGTCACATGGACAATGATCAGACCAATAACTAAAGTTAATTCTCCTCCTAAGGTTGATTCAGAGCACAAAACAGTAGATATATCAAGAACGTATTAAAGTCCATCAGCACAACTCTGTCAAACTTTATCTCAATAATGTCAAACATTGACCGGGAGGTCCATTTCTTCATCTGGTGTTAATTCAACTCATATCGAGAACCATCTGGGAGGGTTTTTAAGATTACCTTGCTGTTCAAAAGATTTTCGCTTTATGTATTTTAGCTTTCTATACGCATAGTCACGAGTTCAAGCATAGACCGCCAGTCATATTCACAGATTTCATCATTTCAGCTTTTTTTTTTCACAAAATCAAGCGCCAGTCTTTTAAATTGAACTGGATTCAAAGTTCAGTTAAAGTTTTGAGGGTGTTCACTTCAAGTCTGACGGACGGCTTTTAGTAATAGCAGCTTTTTGACATGCAGACCTCTCTTTTAGAGAGACTTGGCAATGATTAAAACAGAGCAGGTAAAAGTCCCAGAGTTGATTCAGCGATGGGTAACATTATCGATCCCCAGAAGGGCAGATCATTAGCAGCTTACCTCACCCACAATCACACACGTCAAAAACACTGATCAATAACACAAGGAAAAGTCACAGGTCAGGAGGTTACTGCTTTCATAATCTATTACAAATATATCAGATATTGTAAAAAGACCTCTCAGTGCTGGTAAGTCTGGCTTAGTCAACAAAAACACCAAAAAGATCAGGAGTGACTAAATAAACTGTGGAGCTACTTGGGGGGGAAAAGGAACACACATAATTGTAGTGGGACCATTCACACCTTTCAGAAAACATATCGAATTGTAGCTATGTTCTCCAGGAGGATAAATCCAAGAGAAGACTGGCAACAAGGAGAGTTTTCTACAGGGTGTAAAACATTTATAGGCCTCCAGACTAAAAAGGCAGCATTAGAGAAAGGATGTGATCCAAGTCTAAATGGATCAGTCTTAATTAAGGTATAGATTAGAACACAGCTCTTAAAGATCTCACAATACCCCTTTATAGCTGCTCCCAACTTTTTCTAACTGGTTGATGAAAGTGCAGATGTCCAACTGATGGTTCCAAACGTTTATTAAAGGATTTTCCTTCATACAAACGTGAACGCTGCAAAATACGCGGTGGAAAATATTAATCAGTGAAACCGTCATGTTACCTTACATGAATTATAAAATGAAACTTATTAAACAAAATATAAATTCTCTAAATTGTCCGTACCGTATGCCCCTCCAACCAGAAGGTTAGGAGTTGCTAGAAGTCCATTTCTTCCATATTTCAGTCCTTTGCCTTTTCTCTTGCACACGCAGACTCATTATAAACAAAACTCAGAACTTCCTATCAAAGGCATCACGTGATCAAGTGAAGACCCAATTGGTGACGTCTCCATCTGACATCGTTACAATATTTTCCCAAAGTATGTACATATTGATAAAAAAAATACACAAAGATATGAAATACATATCAAAAGTAAAACATATTCATATAAAAAAAAAAAAAAAATTCACACAGAAAAATTGCTTATGTAACTGCGTTCGCTACACACTACACGCTAACAGAGCCAGGGGAGGAAAAAGGTTTTGGAGACAGTTTTTTTTGGAAAAAGCTCCCCATTTCAAGCATCCCACTGGGCCCCAAAAAAATTGAAACAATGAGGTGAAAGAAGAAGCGGACGGAGGAGTTTCTGACTTAAGCAGCAAAACCTCACGTTACCAAACCAGGCTGGAGAGAAGCCCAGAGGCTTGTGAAGGTATAGAAACGGAAACCTCCTGAGACCCGGCCCATTCATTTATGTCCATTATAGTGGACATTTTGTCCACCTGTACCCCCCCTAAGTATCTGGAGTTACCCTATCAGCCCTATAGTGTTCTGTAGAGGACATCCTGGGCTTTCCAGTTATGTGCCATGTGATAGGTTTGCATGCTGGGAACTTGACTTTTTTCTTAAGAAATTCTTAGGTAAATATCCCTTTCAAGACATCGACTTCTTTTTTATTATTTTTTTTTATTTTATTCATTATCTGAAGCCTGTTCTATTTTCCCATGCAAATCGTCGTGTTGTCCTACACAGTGGACATGCTATGAAATTAAAATCAAAAATATATTTTTTTAAAAATTGAAATCGTCATCTTCTTTTTTAGGTCCAAATACATGGAATGTCACAACAAAAAAGAAATTTGAAGACACTTTTTTTCTTTGGGTCTCAGGGAGGATATACTGCAGTGGCTGAGTCAGTCCCCTGGACTGACCCCAATCGAGCTGCATTACGCTATCTGAAAGCAGAACTAAAGAAAGACGGATCCACAAACAATCCAAAAGCAGCTCCGGTGAAGAACCTGGCAGAGCATCACTAAAGATGTGGATTCACTTGTCGTTTCACCTCACGTTCACCTAAGTAACCGTCTCTGTTTTTAGCCAAACGGCTCACAGGCCTGACTGGACACGCCATCAGTGACCAGTCAGAGGAAAAACCTAAAAATTAAGCTTAACCACCCACTCCCCGTCTCCTACGTAGGGCAGCTTATACATGTAAAATGTTGATGACGTGTACACAAACATACCAAACAAAAGGCGTGACATATTCATATTGATACATATAAGGAGGAGGCCCACTTCTGTAACGTTCAGGTGCTCTTTAGGGCAGGCGTTACTTCAAAAAGAATAAAGAAACGAATGAATATATTAAATATGAACTTTCTTTGTTGGTCATATTAATGTATGCAATCCCATTTGAACCCACGAAAGAGGGAGTTCTAGCTATTAAAGAGCTTTGACGTTTTAACTTTTTCCTCATATCTGAATCTGAAAGAATGTTTTAATTACGTAGTCTGTAAGATACGCCCACACTTCTTTTATAGCTTTAATTATTTTTTATTGGACAGCTCAGACAACAAGTTTAATGGGAGGAAATCACAGGGAATGGTGGGTCTGTGTGTGTGTGTGGACACAGTTCAGCTGACCTAACTGATAAAACAAAAACATCAAATCAATTCAGTGAGCTAAGAAATAAAAAGCAGCTTGATCAAGCCGGGAGAAAAAGGTTTAATGAAAGCGACTTGCTGAGGTGTCATTGGAGGAAAGCACACTATATAGCAGAGCTGAGCTCAAATAGAAGTTTCTCTTTGTGTTGTTGGTCTTATTTAATAATTGGACATCCATCGGTTTGTGCTATAAGGTGTGTTTGGTAGTTCTGAGTCCACAAAGAATCCTACTAGTGCTGAAAACACATAGTTTGGATTCTGTGTGCGGAGGATTGTTCAGGGTCAGGAATAAAAACTTAGACAGGAACAGACTGAATGACAATAAAACTTACAGAAGCAACATGTGGAATTATCTGCAAGACTTAGAATGGTGTCCATGTATTTGTAGATAAAACATCATTTTACTAAGTGTCTCTCTCAGATTTTTAATTTGAAGGGTCTGCAGGTCTACAGGATTAAAGAAAATGAATGGCTTCTACAAACTGTCAGGCTTTGTGCATCCTCAGGCTGTATTAAAGCGCTTTAGTTCAAAGTCTGAGTGGTGCAAAAACGTCATATTAACCTTAACCGCATTTCAACGCCTACAAGTCAAAATCCCAGATAAATGATTAGTTTTATCCACTCACCAGTCCGTCGCAGGTACTTAGAGCTGCCCTCCCTTTAATAGTGGTCTCATCCCACACTTCGCCTAAGAAATGGCACCGTGAGGCTGCCGGGCGCTGGAAACGAGCCCCCTCCAGGCCACCGTACCTCCTCTCCGTCAGGAACCCCGGAGCCAGCAGGTTCGGATTGAGCGTGAGGTTAAAGCGTAAGCTGTGGCCGTCGTGCAAAATCTGATAATAGACGCGATCGGGGTCCGTAGGATCCTCCGAGGCCTCCCGACGCCGGACACGGCGGGCCCGATGGGACAGGAAGTTGGACAGGAAGTGACCTCTGGCGTCCACTCTGACGGGGTGAACCACTTCAAACTCGGGCAGATCCTGGAGAAATCTTCCTGTGAGAGTCAGGGTGGGAAAGGATTATGTAAGAGAGGATGGGTGGTTAAATCATGGGAAAGATGGAGGTGATTAAACAGTTAAGTAGCTTGTGAAACTAAAAACAAAATCATATGACTATAATTTGCCATTTAAATGCTTGGAGAAGCTGCATTTTGTAGAGACTTCAGACTCCTTTTTGTCTATTTGTCTCAACTTTTGACCTTTACAAGCAGCAAGTTTCACATAGACTGTGAAAATGATCCTATTTCCTCCTGAAAACAGAGGCTGTCCTTCCATAAAAGGTGTGTAGAAATGTACCTTTTTGATCGGTATAACCAGCCTCCTTCTCTCAGCCCAGCAGAGATATCTTTATAAAATCCAGAACTGCTTTTATTTTTTTTCGCTAATTACAATTTAGATTCATTACCCATGATACAAACGACTAATCCAAGATTGAAGGGAGGTTAAAAGGGACAACACCTAATTAATCTTCCAGTTATGGTCGTACCCACGTCATAGCTGTGAGTTTCAGGCCGATGAAAGATCATAGAAAGAGGCTCCTAAATGTGCTGATTCTGAATTAAACATTACAGTCCAAAAGAACTTGAGCATTAAATCTAAATGTACCACTTTTCAAGGCCACACCAGCACATCAGAGCTTCTATAATCTATTTCCATAAGTCAGGAGGGAGTGATATCAGCTCTGTGAAGGATTTTTAAATGCAAAACTGTAATTCTGCATCTGACTGACTCACAGGTTAATGCGGGATGTTCCCAGATGATTTGGCATTTTGCAGAGGTGAATGAAAGCACTAAACCCCATTTGGATTGAGTCTGGTTGTTTTTTTTTTAAACAGAGGCACTGGCTCTTAAGGATCTGTTTTCCTCTCCCAGATAAATACACATTAAATACATTTTACTGAGCAATCACAAAACGTGTTTAATTAACCCTTTAATTTGTTAAAATATGTAAAATTTGAGTCACACTTTCCATTTTTCTAATGAAATATTAGAAATCAAAAACCCTAAACTAACTCTGCGGACTTCTTCAGATACTGTTTTTAGCAAATAATCCTATTTACAACTTTCTCTACCCTCATAATCGTCCCAGATAAGGGATATCTGGCTTTAAATATGAGATTATACACCTGCACATCAGGGATTTTAAGGCACCATCTGTCACTCAACAGAGAATGTGATTTTCTGACTCATTTTAGTCCTTTTGTCCCTCTGCTAAAGCATATTCTGCTGTTTACCAGAACAGGATTTGGAGATATACAAAGGAACACATGAAAACAAGCATAGAATTCTTAAGATTTTTCATCTCGTGCTTAAGCTGGATAAGAAAATAGAAAACATTTAAGCCAGTTAAATGACTAAAAGGGTTCTGATTACAATACACAATTTCCTTTATGCTCCACATAAAAATGAGGGTGGTCTGAAAATCCAGAATAGCAGAATTGTGTGACTTTATTTTTGATCCGCCGTCAGTAGTAAATTACTTTAAAAACATGTGAATATATATAATTCAACAAACCTATTTTCAAGAAATGTGCAAATATACTCAGTTTGAAAACACAACCATCAGCTATGATATCACAACCCCACAGATAACTCATGCAAGTGGTTCTAATGGGGAGCCTGGTCTTTTGGAGTGTCAAAGCCAGAAAATCAGCTTAGACGGGGCTATTGTATTTTATTCATGAATCAGGTTCATGTACTCGGTATTCACTATGAGAGCCTTAGCGAAGCCAAAAAGAGTACAAATTGTTCACTCACTTCAGCCTAATTCTCCCTTCACCTCCGGACAAACCTGCACACCTGCATCACTGGCAGAAGACTAATATTGTTGGATAAAAACCAGCCTCAAAACTAAACCCTAATCCATCCATTCGTTTGCTATATCAGCTCTTTCTAAGTCGGGTCATTGGGGTCTGGAGTCCATCCCAGTGGGCATGAAGCAGGATTCCCCTGGACAGGTCTCAAGTCCAGAAGAAAACTCATAATTTAGCTCTATAAATAAGAAAACTTCTATTTTCTGTAGAAAACTACACTCGTCACACTCCATGAACAGTTAACGGTCCGTAATTTTGTCTTTAATTAAAAGCCTTGAGTCTTTTTTTGTTCCCTTAACTTGAATAAAAGTTTTTTTTTATAAATTGTGTTGCTTTGAATGTGTTGCTTTTGGACCAGTAACAATGAATGAAAATGAAAACATATTGTGTTGAATTTGTTCCCACAGTTTATAGATGCAAACCTCATTCCATATTTCAGTCATGTGTCTGTTTTACATTCTATATACTGGAATTATTCAAAGGTAAGTCAGAAAAGTTACATGCAAAACTATTAAATATGTGTATTCAAAGTTTGTCTGTTGCCTCTAACTCTTCTCAATTGAGATTTTATAATCTGTGGTTAGAAAATCTGAATTTTTTGAGAGCAGAGCGACAATCTGGAAACACTTTACATGACCAAGAGTCAACACACAATCTGAAAGGATTGGCTTTTAGTCACAGTTTGATACCTGTAGCTATCTGACGGAAGAAATTATGTGACCAAGAGGAGCTTTATTGAGAGTTTGTCATCATAAATATAAAGTAACGCCTCACCATTTTTAAACAGAAGACTGAAACAGAAACCAGCCTGAATACATACAGAGTGTCCAGGCCCATTTAAACTGAGACAAACATGCAGATGATTCCAATCTAGATTAGGAAAGTGTGTTTTTCCTGTTTTAAGAAGCTCAAATTTGACCAATCTAACCCACTAAAATAACAGTTTACATGTCCAGTTTTGGCTGGGAAGGCAAAACGAGAAGTTTTATTTCTGCCATGTTAAAGTACAACGTTTTTTTGTGCCTTAAGGAACATCACAAAAAATTTGTGTCAAGCATAATGAGTGGAAAACAAACGCTAAAACAGCCAAACTTTAAATAAAAAAACCTGGAAGACTATTGCTGAAGATCCCTTTCAAAGATTCCAAGATGAGTCTGAATATAAAATGTAAAGAAAGGAGGACCGGATCAAAACTTTTTTTTACAGCACAGCAGATTCTGATTTAAGTGAATATCTGAAATATGTCAGCAACTATTCTTTAAATACCACTCGACTTTAAATGAGAGTTTACATTTCCACGATAGGCCTGCGGTAGGTTCACAGCAAGAAATAATGGCCAGCTTAAGAAATCTTCACATCTGCCTTTGAATGTACACATTTCTTGTAGGATTGTGGAACTTAGGCTATTTGTGAACAGAATAATTGTAAGAACAAAAACAGAAATCCTATCCTTTTTGTTCCTGAGTCCTGTTTGAGAGGCCCTTTCCATCCTCGCCTTAAGGCCTGAGAGTGGTTTGTCTCAGGGGGATGCAGCTGATTCGAACAGATCAGACGGAGTTGTTGATTTGCTGATCTCAGGAGAGACTCGGCTCTTAACATCCAAACCAAAAACTAAATGGGGGCGACTGAGAGGACGAACATCCTACCAGAGGTTTGGATCTCTGCTTATGGAATGGGAGCCGGCTCCACAATAACAATAACGATAATGCATCCTGTATATTCCCACAGTGGAGCTCCCGCTTCCTGCTGCTGTCTGCTGGGGCCAAAGGTCACGGAGCAGCAGGGCTGCTGCTTTATGATCAATGCACTACAGAAAGAAAGGGGGGGGCGATGGGGTTTCAACCTCTGATGATTCATTGGAAAGCAGCCCTCTCCAGCTGCCGTATGGGCAGCAAAAACCCGGATCTTAATGACTGAGGTCAGCCCAGACCTTTCCAAACACAGGTCACAGCCACACTTGGCTTAATTAGAAGAACTCAGGAGGTAAATGAGCTCCAAAGAAACACACGACAAGAAGTAAAGGTCTCTAAAAGTTAGTAAATGCGTCTGGCGCACTAAACTAACCTCGCTCATGTGTCAGATCCGACGGTTTGCAGCTTCCCAGGACCACCAGAATCGCGATGAAGACGTGAATGGGAGAGATTCCTAATCCAAAAGAGGGAAACCCGCACTCCAAACGGGTCATTTTGTCAGGACGGATGCTTAAATGTAATAAACATTTAATCGCTCTCCAACAACGCGCCGATTGTCAATTTAAATAAGCTCCATCTGACTTGGACACTTTTCTTTGTTGCGCCCCAAACTGTTGCGCCCAAACTGTGACAGTCCCAGTAAAAGCTCTCCACTTTAGGCCTGAGCATTGTTTGCATCTGCGGTGCGTTTTTGTTGCCTCCTCGTTTTCATTTCCACTCGTTTGGAAGTTGGCGTCGGTGTCGCTTTACGCGCGTTTGGTCCCTCTGTCCTCCATCAGTCTCCCCCTGGACAGCCAGTGACAGCTCAAAACTTTCCTCTGCAAACTTTTTTTGCAAGAGCCACCCCCACAGATGGGAGGACTTAAGACAATAGGCTGGCTCTGACGCTTAAAGGGGAACGCTACTCCAGAAATCGGATATTGTTACACACAAGCCATTTGGCAGTTCGTCCCAAAAACGGAAGTCTGCTGGGTTCGGTGGGTCAGATGAGGACCTGTTTCAAGACTGTTGCATTCAGTGGGAATTGGACAATGGGCTACTGTTTTTGAGGGGGGTCCACTTTTTTTTTGCATTTTCTGCTCGGTTGCTTGTGTTTTTAAAATATATGTTCTTTCAGTGGTAACGCTGCACAAAAGCTCAGAAAACAGATTAAAAGAACTGTGACTGAAAGCAATAAACTTAAAAAGGCTTTTGATCAGAGAAACTCCACCATGGTCACATCTTCACTGCCTCCTTTGCACAGAAATAAAATGTTATTTTTGTGCAATGAAAATTGACCCCTCTGCAGGGCCTCAGTTAAAATAGACGACATTCGTAATAAAGTCCAGGCAAAAAATAACAACAAATGAACGCCAATTTTGATGTAATCGTTTTATCCATATCTCTTTTTAAACTTTTTTCCTTTAGGCTATTAGCTGTTTGAGCTTGGCGCTCCCCCTTGCGGAGGAACTCACTAAAGAGAAATGCTTTGGCTGTATACATGCAGATTCTACGCATCATATAATGGAGAAGAGAGGGACAGAGCCACATTTCAGATTTCTTATCCAAATGTATTCTGTTGCTGACAAATATGGAGGTTCTTTCTGTTCTGTGAATCACAGAAACTGTGCGCGTAAAGAAGCTGAAACAGGGACTGGCTGAGATACTTTAGTCTGTCTCGGCACATCTTAGTTTTGAACATGTAATTAAAAAATATATGTTTTTCTGACATTTGCATGTATTACATAGCGTCTTCTATATTACAAATTCTATAATGTTGTCTTTTACGCACAGCCCGTGCGCTTTGGACCCAGTTGCAAGGTTTATAATTTGGCACATAGAGTAAGGGATACAAATATATACATTGGTTCCAAACAATACTTATGAATAATGCATCTTTAGGACATGCTGATTTGCTGTTGGAACAGTTGCGCTTTCTTGATTTCCACGAGACAGCGCGTCTCTCGCCTCTGGTTTTCGACCAATCATAGCTCAGCAGCGGAGCGACACACCTGTATAAAAAGCAGATTCCAGGTCAGCTGTCATTCAGAAGGCAGGATAAAGATGACAAGTCGCTGAGGGGTGGAGGCAAAAAAAGCTCCCCCGGCTCTTTTTCATGGGGTTTTACGCAGAACTTACGTTCGATTTTAAAGATGGATGAAATCATGAACCAGAGTGGAACGCTGAACTTCAGCTCGCGCGGCGACGACGAGTTCACTTTCGAGGACATCGACATGAGCGCGGACGGGAGCCCCATCCTGAGGATTTTCATCTCGGTGGTCTACTCTGTGGTGTGCGCGGTGGGGTTGGTGGGGAACCTGCTGGTGTTTTTCCTCATGCGTTTACGGCAAGGTCGAAAGAGGTCCACCATCAATTTCTTCATCATCAACTTGGCCGTGACGGACTTCCAGTTCGTGCTGACTTTACCCTTCTGGGCCGTGGACACCGCGCTGGACTTCAGCTGGCCGTTCGGGGACGCCATGTGCAAGATCGTCCTCTCGGTCACGGTGATGAACATGTACGCCAGCGTGTTCTTCCTCACGGCCATGAGCGTCACGCGCTACCTGTCCGTGGCCACGGCCCTGAAAAAGAAAGCCTACCGACGGTCAAGTTGCGTGAAGTGGGTGTGCGCGGTGCTGTGGGTGGCCGCCACTTTGGCCACGGCTCCGACGGCGATCTTCTCCACCGTGACCGTGGTGGCCGGAGAGAAACTCTGTCTCCTGAAGTTTCCGGAGGGACACGACTGGCTGGCGCTCTATCACATCCAGAAGATCCTGATAGCGTTCATCATCCCGATGCTGATCGTGTCTGTGAACTACCTGATGCTCCTCAGCTTCGTCAGGAGGAAGAGCATGGAGGGCAGTAACCCCAAACGGAGATCCAGAGTCACCAAATCGGTCGCTATTGTCGTTTTGTCTTTCTTCTTCTGCTGGATGCCGAACCACGCCATCACCTTCTGGGGCGTTCTGGTCAAATTTAACGCGGTCAACTGGGACACGTCGTACTACATGGTCCACACCTACGTGTTTCCGGTCACCGTGTGTTTAGCGCACACGAACAGCTGCCTGAACCCGGTGCTTTACTGCCTGATGAGGCCGGAGATCCGGAAGATGCTGAGCAGTTTGTTTTGGAGAGTTTCCACGCCGCCCTCCGGCAAAGCCTGCGCCACGCGCTCCGTCACGCAGGGAGAGATCCAAGGAGTCGTCCCGCTCCAGATCATGGACAACGCGGAGTACACGCTGTCCATCATAGATCGAAAGGGTTTATCGGGCTCCAGGACGTCCTCATATGCCCGTTGAATTGGGGTTTGGTGCAGAAAAAAAGCTGCTCTGGTCGTTTATCTGTCACCACTCGTGCGTAATTGTGCCCTCACTGCTTCAGTGTGCGCTCCGTAAGGCTGGGACGTGCACACATCGTCATGTCAAGTGTTTTTTTCCCATTAATTGGATTGTGTGTATGATAATTGTAGTAAAAATTTGTTCCTCTAAAAGCAAATTCATTGCATATTCTTTGGCGAAAAAAAAAAAAAAAAAAAAACGGGCTTTCAATTGAAACGCACCACGTCCAAATCAAGCTACATGTTGCATTTCTCTTCAAATTGACTACAAGGAAATGTTTTCCTTTATGTCACTGTCAAATACAGCACAAATACGGAGAAAGAGACATAGGGACACTCGGGTCCATCAACCTGGAATGGACATTGGTAAAATAAACGACTCCCAGCACAATGTAGGATCTAAAAATGTGGCCAGCTGGTGATCTGGTTAAGACTGCAGTGTTTTCCCATCATGTGAAGCCTGTAAATAAATAGCTTTTTTTCCATCTGACATAGGAGTTGTTGATTTCTTCCCCAAGCAATCTATCAGAATCAATAATTTGCTTTCATTAAGGTTTGTCTGCATCATTCCAAAAAACATCAAATTGCATCTTTTATCATTTCTGTGTTGTGAATAATGAAAAACCAGCCCGTTAATACATTTACTGTAAAAGTCACCTTACACATATCCTCCAACACATAACCTTTAAACAAGAGGTTTCCATGATGTCAGTTCATTAGCTAATTGAAATGGGTTTTTTCATCATCCTGTGAGAGTAAGGATTGCAGATGCTGGTTCAAAACCGTCTGGGTGAGGCTGGATCTGTGAACTAAACGATCAACTCTAAAGTCATTCTCATTACGTGTGTCCTTGTTGAATCCCCGAGTGTTTGTGGTAACACACAAGCATCTTCTCCAGATTCTGGAGCAGCGTGATGACATTTGGCTGCGATGCGGATCCCCCCCCGAAATGATCAGAGCCAGGGGGGGGGGGGGGGGGGGGGGGCTCTGCAGGTGTCCGGGACCACTGCCAGCTTTGTGTGTCTCTCCTGGCTCCATCCTCCCTGTGTCCTGCACCGCTTTTCACCCTCCTCTTCTTCTGTTTACAATGCCGTGAGATCACAAGAAAAAGAAACAACATCAATCTGAATGTTCTGTCTATCCTCTCAGCCTCAGTGGTTTGTTCTGTCTGAGATGGTTTACAGGTTAAAAAAAATCCCAAACAGATCTTCAGAGTCTGTTAAAGATAGTAACACTCTCCTGGCTTTGATGATGGGAACAGATAATGCACACACACTCAGAAAATAGCTGTTTTAAGGAAGGACAACATTAACTAAACCATGACCAGATCAGTCCTTTTTGACTTGATTCAAAGAAAATTTAAGCAGAGATAAATAATACACATTTTCTATGGTTCATAATGTCCTTTGATGAGGGAATATTTAGCAAAATCTGCAGTTCCAACTAAATAATAACTCTATTGATGGATAAAAGTACGTTTTTCCTCTCTGAACTTGTTCAGTTTTGAAATAAAATTAAATCATTCTTATTCATAGTGAGATTTCCTTAATAGTTTACAGTCTCAGAGCCCCGCTTCAGTGGATTATACAGGATTATAGACACAAAACAAACCCAGAATAATTTTGTGGGGGTTCTCCCTCTCATGGACACACAACTCCTGCTGGGATTCCCAGAGTAGAGCAAGAGTGTGACAAAGAGATGATTAATGTCACACACACGTGTGTGTGTTTGTGTGTGTGTGTACAGACAGCACAACCTTCAGCATAATTGAACTGGAAGTGGCAGAAACTGCGGGGCGTTTTTCAATTTTCATTCCGTGATGACACGACAGCACACTGACAACCTTTAGCAATATTTGAGAAGCAAGCTTATCCCAACTCTCTGTTCTGATTATTTTCAGTGAGTCATTTTAGCTTGGCCATTGAACACATTACGGGGAAGAACTTCTATTTTATGCTTGTTTAGAATATCTGTTTCTGTTTAATTTACATTCAAATGGACTCCTATTTCCATTTTTTTGTGAATATTTCCATGTCAAGTCAAGGATTTGGACTGACAGCCAACACATATTTCGTCTATTACTTTAATTTCCTCACATTTGGGATCAAGTCAGTGCTAGAAGATAAAAAGGAGACATGAACAAATCTTTTACCCAACAGGATTTTTTATTAAAAAGATCTTTGTATATATTTATGTGTTTTGCGTTCCTCTTTTTATTATCTTTTTTATTTTTTTGCCATATTTTTTTACACTTTGAAATGCAGCAAACGTATTTTTTCATGGTAGCATTTTGCCTCCACAAACGTCTTTGCCACACATAAGTGTGCTTTGGAACATTTCATACGTTCATAATTTTAGTTTTAAACTAAAAAGCAACTTGTAATGATAACATATTTACAATATTTTACCTTTGGTTTCCGTTTGGATGACCTGAACATTCAAAACAGCTTTGATCAGCGGTTTGCCATTGAGTTTGTAGTAAAACTGAAATTTCTTCTAATGTCAAAGGGGGCCAAAGACAGACACACACACACAAACATCCACACACTCCTGTTTACACTTATTTATTTAGTCATCAGGACAATTTAGAGTCATCATAGCATGCATATTTTGGATAGTGGGAAGAAACCAGAGCCACTGCTCCTTAAAAGTATATTTGAAAACCCTTGGATTGTGTAAACCAATCCATAATTTAAAGACAAAAGGTTTTATTATTTGCAGCTCTAGACATCCACACATGTACTGATTTGAGGAATGTAGTATCCGTAAAGGCCTGGATGTGATAACTGATTTGCCTTTAGTTTTGAAAGTAATTGTGTAGTTTAGAGGAAATCCATTAATACAATCTGAATGATATCAGCGTAATTAATCCACACAAAACCGTCCTTTTCCAATAAATTTCTAATAACCTGCAGATTACAGCAAGTGAGAGAATTTGACTGTTAAAAATAAACGAAAAATTTTAATTTGACGTAGTTAATTCCTGGGAGCCACTGGTGGTATTTGAAAGCATTTTCTCCATTTAGGGATCCCACTATATCAGTCTTTCTTTGTTCTGACATATCTGCTTGGATAGTAAAAAAAAAATCATTGCTAGTTTTATATGGGAAGCTGTATCTTTTTCAGGAGTTAATTAGGTTATGCAATTAGTAAAGCTTGATAAAACTATTTCACAACAAACGGGGTCAAAACAAATGTGGGCTGCAGGGAGAAGTGGAGAACTGTTTTACTTTAACTCTCATCATAAAACCACCACAGATTTTAAATTAAGAAGATGACAAAGTGTAATTAGATATTTGAAACGCATTTAAATAAGCGGGCATGTTTCAGCCCTTACTCTCAACATGTTGGATTAACTGTGTGGAGTTTAGTAAAATGTATCTTACTTGGTTGGTCCTCTGAGTTTAGGATTATATCCAATCACAACTTTACTGCTTCTTCATAATCAGAGACACACATGGAGATCCTCACTGGAATTAGAGTTGTGCTTAAATAATAAAGAAAGTTTGAAAAGGGACTGAGATTTTAATGTTCATGTAGGTTTATTTTCATCATCAAAACTAATCTTTAAAAAGACACCGCAGGCTCATGTTTCAAAATCTAATTAAACAGTCAAGTCAAACAATCCACTTGTAGCCAAGAGTGATGGTTTATTACTCATGCTTAATGCAAACATCGAAAATAAGTTTTAATTCCAGACTTGATTAGCGCCATCCTATATCTGGGACTTCCTTCCCTCTGGGCAATACTTCGAAAATGATATTTTTCCTCAGCTCTTTTTTCTTCCTTTTTACACTTGCTGTGTCATTTAATTGTATTATTGCAGCCGTTGTGCTAAAGAGACGCTCATAAACGTGTACATCATTTTATTTGTATGCATATCACAGCGCTTCATACTTCAACACTATTACACCGGGAGCAAAACGCAATAGGTGGACTCCTGCTTTTTTGCACCTGCTTATCATTTGGTGACAGCTCAATATAAATGTACTTATCTTTAAAAAACAGCTGGCAATATTTAATGCATACCCTTTGCTCTGATGCAGTGCATGTTAATAAAAAGGCATGCGACCGTCTCAAGGTTCTATGACACAAAGCTTTTTTTTTTTGTTGCATAAGTTAAGAAAGGAATTCCTTAAACTATGGAAATAAATGGTGAATTACATAACTGCATGGGTATTAGAAAAAGCACATGACTATTTACAAATTCAAGTTAACTCTGTACAATATAAAAAAAGTGCATAATCAATTTATAGATCATCCCGTTTGCTTTCCAGGATGTCAGATTGAAGAGGATTCCTCTCTGTCTTCATGAATCTTTGTACTTGGGTGACTTCAGTTCCATTTTTGGTCCTTCATAAATTATACCGACTGTATATGTTGCAGATAGAAACAGTTAAACTTCAAATTCAGTACACACAATAATATCTTTTACACGTGGTGGAAGTTGTTGGGTGGTGAGGCACCCTTGAGGTTTTTTCCTGTATTCCAAACTTCTCTCATCAAAGTCAAATAAATACACACCGAGAAGAGATGAAGACTAGTTTGGCTATTGTTTACCTCACGGGCAAAAAAAAAAAAGAAAAGATGCCTGAAATCTTGAAAAGCAATGCTTCATTCTTCTATGCAAACAGCCCATTAACAAGCACCAGAGCTCCAAAAAATCTGTGGAGGGACGACATGGCGGGCAGTGGAATAGGACGAAAACAGAGGCCCCTTATATCGTTAACAGTGCAGGATTTCAAAGTGAGAGGGACAGTGCTGACTCGGGGAGTCTGGGGTTCTGGCGTGGGACGGGTCCAGTGCACTGAAAAGGCTTTGCGGTGTTGGGGGGGGGGCAGTGGGGTTGAGTTGGTCCCTGAGTGTCACATCCCTTCTGGAAAAAAAGGTGCAAGCTGGAAATCCGTCGGTCAGCCTACGTTATCGCTCCTCGGCCACTTTCCCGTTCGCCTCCTGCTCGTCTTTGTCTTTTCGCTTCTGCCTCCTGAAGAAGCCGAGCTGGGAAATAAAATTATAAAACCATAAACACTAAAAAAAAGGCCTCACGGGGTAAACGCATATGTGTAATTATTTCCTTTGGGTGTCAGATATCAACTGAATTTAGCAAGTTGTAGTTACAAAAGACACCCTAGGTTGTGAAGCCATTTAGTTTGAGAAGTTCACGGGGAAAATAAATTAGCGTAAAGCAACATGTATTCACTCTCTGAACTCATAAGTACAGATTTTTTAGCAAATTACACCAAGAAGTAATGACTTTCCTCCCCATGGGCCTTTTTTCAGAGAACAGTTTGACTCATGACAAAAATGTCAAAGTACTCAGAGTTTTTATTTCCCGAAGCTGCCACTAGAAAAAAAGAGTGACTTGAATTAAAATTTTTAATGGCCCGGGGTGTGATCCTGTCTGTCAGTGGCCCCCGTGTTGACCGTGAAAACAAGGCCGCTTTAACTTTATGCTTCCAGAGAGGCTCCACATCCACATGGATACATTTTAATGAAACCAGTTGTCATTCAGGGCTTTGTACAAGGATATAACTCACTGTTATTATTGGCCAAGATCAAATTTAAACCAACATTTAATTCAATTTTCTCATACATGATTTGAAATGCTTGAAAATAAAGCGCAAAAACCAAAGAAAAGATTCTTATAACAAGTGGAAATAATGCACGAAATGGGTTAAATGTATCATATTTTCCTTGTGGATTGTTTGCTGGTGGTAGTTAATGAGAAATGTGGTTGAAGTGGCGTTAGCTTTATACAAAAGAAAATGAAAGGAAAGTGGCACAACACAAAAAACTGATTAGGTGTTTAAATTTGATACAAATATGGGGATGATAAGGATACTGAATGAAAGAAAACACCCAAGCGTGGCTTATACATGCTTCATAAATGGTGTCAAGTCTTAAAAAATGAATCATAACCAGTGGGTGGGGTCACTGTAAAGACATAAACTGAGCTGTTATGGAAATGGCTCACAGAGCGGAAAGCTTCCGCGCTTAAAGAACCTTCATCTGGGCAACACTAGTAATTACTTTGAATAAATAACAGTGAGCAATTAGACAACTTACCTTCCACAGAGCCAGACTGAGCAGGGCTAACAATAAGAGGCCTCCCAGCGTGCTTCCAACAATAATCCACGTGGGGATTCTGTAATCTCCCTCCTTCCTGATCTCCAGTATTATCTGTCAGAGATGATGAGATCAGAAAAATCTTTTTCTTAGACACAAAGGGGAACTCAGAGTCAGCTTCTGTGGTGCTTCAGTGGTTCTTTCTATCATTTACTGAATGCAGAATATAAAAACTGGGCTGTTGTGTAACCAGATGAATGACGATCATTTTGTGTTTTCATTTCAGACACTGCTGCGGTCTACGATCAGGACAATCATTAGATATTTATAAAGGAGACAACTTTTTAATTTAGTAGAGTGAAAAGTGTGATATCTCCTGAGCTTTTCTTTTTGGTGGCAGGTGTGTCATTCGTAGTTTCCAGATGATTCAAACTGATTCGATTAAAAAACTGGAGGCAGCTGGCCAGTGTTTCTCGGATGAGATACACAAGATCCATCTGTTCCCCGTAGTGGGTCGCTCCTTATTCCCCATTGTTGCTTTGGGTTTTGTGTTTATTTTTGCTCTATTCACAAAAGAACGAGTCGTTCTTGGTATGAACTGCTCTTAGACATCCATGACAATAATAAGACAGATCATTGGAAAGGATGGAGGGAAACTTTTGAGGAAAAGCTCTGTAAATTCTATTGTATCACAGCAGGATCAGGAATGCAACAAAGTCTATTCTTTTTTTAATTAAAAATAATTTATTTTGCAAAAACTTACAGATAAAGAGAGGAGATGACTCATGTTGCCACAGATGTATTACTTCTGAGCTCCATTTCATATTCAGGGATTCTTTCAGGCCATGAATATTCAGCGTCTTATTAGGAATGCATGTCATTAACTTTGCCTGTTTCCCATATTCCTTTTTTATAATGTATTTGAATTTTATGTAATCAGTTTTCAGTGTAAAACTGCTAATGGTTCTTATCCATCTGAAATCGTATAGGATTAATTATCTATGTTTCTATTTGACTTTAAGTACATTCATTTAGAGTGGTGTGAATTAAGTATTTGACCCTTTGCTGATTTTGCAGGTTTGCCCACTTACAATGAATGCTTATTTTTCCTCTTCAGATGGTTATCAATTTTTATAAATTCATTTTTGGAATATTCTTTGGGATTCTGTCTTTCACTGTTAGAACGTACATATGATTAAAGTTATAGATCGTTGCATTCTTTGTAAGTGGGCAAACCTGCAAAATCAGCAAGGGGTCAATTACTTATTTCCCACACTGTAAATGAATCTTGTGAATCAAAGTGATTTCGGTGTTGGTCTGTACTGTACATCTTACAGATTTACAGGTAAGGCACCAAAGGATTGTGGTGATGGCCAACAGATGGCGGCAAAGATTAGTGTTGGAGTCCAGGCTGTTACATGTTCTGCCGCTGGACCTTTCGGTCCCTAAGCACCACACAGCATGTGTGCTGGAAAACCGTCCTTTACAGCCTGATCACGCTCCTTCTCACTCTAAATGAAAGCACAAACTCCGCCAGTTCAATAAAAAGAGGCCACTGAGGAACAATATGCGACCCCTTGGTTTTTTTTAGCCTTTGTTCTATCATTTTCAGTATAATTTTGTGAGTTTCAAAGGCTTGTTTTCCTGAACAAAGCTTCGGCATCGCACATGTTACCCATAAAACCCAGAGTGATGATAGACGCTATTAAAGAAGACGCTTTTATCTCGTCAGTTTCCGTATCAGGTCAAACTCGGGGCAGAGGCGGTTCACAGCAAGACTCGGGTTGTTGACTCACATGTCTGACAGGCCTCAGTTCGTGTAAAAACATGGGGCTGGAGGAGGGGAGCTCCACTGTAGCGCTGGTTACGAGTTCCAGGACTTTAAACTTCAGCTGGAAAGCAAATTAAAGCAACGCGGTCACTCTTTAACAAACACATCTGAAACTACTATACAATTGCTGTTGTACGACCAAAAAATGATCACGATTTAAAACCGGTTTAAACTCACCGCGTGTAGCGTGTCTATTCTCAGCACTCCTGTGATTCTGATTGCAATTTCTCTGTACGAGGCCACGTTGACCGTGCACTGGATCGGGAGAGTTAATGTGTTGGATCGGTTCTGTGAGAGGAAAAACAGAAGACGCACGGTCACACGGCGGTCGAAAACCAGCGATCATCAGGGGATGGATTTGAAGGGTTTATACTTTACCAAGCGTGAGAAGCGGGAGAGATCCTCAGGTGATGCTCGGCTCTGAGCCACGTGTTGGGGAGGCAAACAGCGGGTCCCGTCTCTCTGAGGGGCGAGAAACAAACTCCCATTAGTCTGTTCAAACCTTAATGCCTGCCGAAAGAGTGAAATTAGCAACCTAATAAAGTTCATCAAGAATTACCATGTACAAATAAGTTCAGTTCAGTCTATTATTGGCACAACATACAAAAGGGAGGAAAAACTAACTGAGAAAGACTAACAGGGTTGTCTAAATGTTCATTTTACAATCAACAAGGGAACTGAGTTTGAGGGAAATTGCTGTCTGAAATATAATTTAACAGTACCACAAGTGGAACTTGGAGGAGATTAAATCATGTAGCGGATCTGCAATTATAATTTAGCAACAATAACCCTTCAGACCTGTCTGACTGTCTTTATTTAGACTCTTTAAAATCACATTTTAAAACAAAAACTGTCAATGATTCATAATAATGGTCAAATAGAACGTCTAAAGTCAAGGAGTCTTTCAAATTATTCATGATACATCAAAACAGGAAAGGTTGGGATTATATGATCTAAATTATGCAAACAAGATATAAATCTGATATGACTTTAGTTTAATTGGATATGAGATATTTCATGTTTATGCTCATCCATTCAATCTGCTAGGTTGTGATCTCACAGTTTCTCCTCACAGCGAGTCCCTCTGGCTCAGCATTGTGAACAATAATTAATCTTCCAATCTGAAAAGGGGCTTCGGCTCCTCCATATGTATGTTTGTCTTTGGGAAAGTTACTGAATGTCACATTAAACTCAACTTCTTCACTGGAGCATGAATATAGATTTAAAAAGTACTCAAAAGAAGGAGCATAAATAGTGTATATGACTAAATGAGTCAGTGGGTGGATTAGAAATGAGTTGTTCAGGACCTTGTAAAACCTAACAGTTTTACATTGTATTTTTCTAAATAAATGGGCATCCCTGGAAAAGATCGAAAAATTATGCTCAAATATCTGAATGAACTTTTCTGGATTCATGGAGCCATCGCAAAGGTGTATTTTACACTGAATTCAAAACTTATCTCTAATCAATCTGGATGCTCCTTCTTTATAAATGGTGCAGAACACATGACGTCTGGGGCATGTGATTTCTTCCAAAACAATCTGTAATACTAGATGAATACAGCATAATTCTTATGTGTGATGGTCTGTCCCAGATGCCTGTAAGCTCATGAGCCTGTGGACAAGTTTAACATAATGCTTCTTTGTAACACAGTTAAGATTAAAGTTCTCCAACTGAAATCCAAACTACATAGTTGAGTGCACTTGATGAAGGTTTCCCATGGAAATCCCTTACCCATGTGGTGAGGATTTTAGTACACTTGCCCCCTTATCGTTTACATCAATAAATTCCCTCAGATATCTTAGATTAATCATAAAATGCACTACAGGGGAAAAAAAATAAATCCCTTATTTCCTAACAATTGTTCATAGTTGTTTTTGTCACAAAGTAAATGATAGCTGGATACCCTTTTCTTTTCTTTGCTCCTTTAATACTCAACATCCTCATGGGGGCTGCTTTTATACAAAGTGATGATGACTATAACCTGCAGAGATCAAATGTTCAAAAGAGATAAAAGACTAACATCCTTTGGGTGCACACCGTGCATTGTTTCATTTTCTTTTCAGTTCCAGCTTTTCCTGACTGTACCATTTTCATGTTTCCAAGTTTACTCATTGGTTCGGGATAGAAGGTGAGTGCCTAAAATCTGATCACGATCACTCACTTGGTCAACATGGAAGTCAGAAATCTGCAGGAGCTGGTTCCCATTTTTTGTCATTTCTGGAATCTCGATGTTTAGCTGCAGATCCCTCACTGGAAAGTATCCAAGGTTCTGGATCTGAGAGAAAAAAAAAAAAAAAGTGTAAATGATTTCCAGACCATGTTTTTCTGTACACGGCATGAAAGAGCTGATGCTGTTAACGTTCGGCCTCACCTGGAAGGTGAAGTTGAAAGGAGGGCCGATAATGCCGGGTTCCTCCAGCGAGAGCTCGGATTTAATTTCATACCTTGTTGGATTTGAATCTCTTTCAAAGCAAATTATAGAAATAAACCAAAAAAAAAAAGTCACGTGTTATCACTTCAAATTCCCAATAACAAAGTCCACATTCCAGCTTCGGTGAGGGGAACTAACCCCATATCCTATTCAGGGAATTCTCCCTATCATCCCCCTAATCGACTGAGTTCATTTTTTGGTGGAAAGTTTGGGACAAACCTGGTGAAGAGGAGGTCCCCCTCGTATTTCAGGGAGTAGTAGATGTTGTTGAAGTTGTCGGCTGTGCTTTGCTCCTCGCCATCGCTGTTGAGAGAGCAATCGTGTTTGATTAGTCTGATTAGTTTGATTAGTGAGGACACACCAGAGAAAAAATGGACAATCCTGCTACCAGGCAGAGTGAAAATGTGTTAAGATGTCAGCTCAGTTTAGAGTTGTGCTCACACCTGCTGGCCTCCAGGATAACTCTGAGGTGCTCCAGGAACACAGTGCGACTGAACTCAAACTCCAGACGAAATGACACCTACGCAGAGAACAAAATTAAGGTTAGAAATGTGAATCACATAGTGAATTTCAACCTTTTTTTCAATTCAAAAAGTCTCAAGAAGACCGCGATAGAAATTTGTTGACTCCACAGTTGACTCCACATGCTGCTTTTTTTCCCCTCTCCAGCAGTAAAGGCTCTGAATTATGAATAAAGGAGCAAAGACTGCAATAACCTGCTGTAATTCCCAGGGATTTGACCCCAGGCAGCCGGTTACACAGTTGGTGCTGCTTAGAGAGAGCCAGGGAATTTCCCTTTAGTCCAGGGCAATGCTGACTACACACACACTCAGAGCTACCAGGAGGAGTCAGATTCAGGTTAAAACACAAAGAAAAAGCGGCAGGAAAAAGAAACCGAGGAGCGGCGGGTATGTAAATAAACGGAATACGATGGAGGAATCCTAAACAAAAACAGAAGGAGAACCCAAAAGTGAGGTTTGATTGGCAGCGGAAAGCGTATGAAGAAGAGCAGAGCGGAGCATTGTTTAGTCCACAGTGCCGGAATGAAATCCTGATGGATCCCGTCTGACCACAGAGGAATCCATAACAAGGTTACTGTAGCTTCCCTCCTCTGGGTAGATGGATTCATCCTTGGCAAACCACAGATACGGAACACAAGAACGATGGACGATTTTTTGCATTTCATCAAGTCCAATCAAGTGTTATGAGTAACCCAGAAAAGATTGTATTTTGAAAAACAACTGAGCAAAGTTTCTTTACGACAACATTACGTGAAGCACATCAGAATGCAGGGAAACCAGAATGCATGCGACCACTACGGCTTTGGAGAAGACATTTGGGATTTTGTTTGTGTTACGTAGAAATTCAGATTCCTCATGACACTCTTGTTCTTCTTCCTCTGATCTTATGCATACTGGGTTATACCCAAAGCCACAGAGATATTTTTAGCCATCAAAAAGCCAATCATAGAAGTTAGCATTTTCTTATCTCTTCATGTATTCACAAAATTCAAAAAGACATAAATAAACATAGATATGACTTGACATTTGTAGCCCAAAACAGCCCAAAACATGCAACTTTGGTCACCTCCAGAAGCATGCTTTGTATTCCTATGTCAATAAATCAAAGAAAAATGTATGTACAAAAGAACAATCATAATGAGCATACAATGATATACATCATAATATGATATAAGTGGCTAGTAGATGGCAAGATTCTATTGATCAATGAAGATTAAATTATTATACAGTTGTTTTCTCTCTGTACAATTGTAGGTTGATTTGTAATACACATTCTATCTTTTAGAAAAGGTCCCATAGCCTCCATCACTTCTTTGATGTTCATGTTCATGAAAACGTGCCATTCCTCTTCATTTTTTATCAACCGACCACACTGACCAAGGTTTGTAAGCAACTTTACAGGCTCAGTAATGGGACAATGCAACCGTCCGGGGATCCTGTAAACAGTGTATAATCTTTAGTCCTGATTGTGCTGCAGCAGTAGTTCTGTTTACAGCACATGTTGTTTTACACAGTTCAGAAGAAACTAGAAAATGCAAACAGGAGTGATTTCTGGTTTGTCTAACAGCGTTTTTTCTCCTCTGATTTCCTACTTTCCTACAGCTAAACAGTGGTTTGGGGCTGGTTTGGCAGTGACCCTCGTGTAGAATCAGCCTTGTTTAACATTTGTGACATTTTTAAAAGACTCTCGACCAGGGAAGATAGGCTCTGTGGCTCTGGAGGCAGTTTTTGGGCTGAATGAGTGGGTATGAATCACTCTGTGGCATTTAAAGGGTGAGCGGGTCCTCCTGCCTCGGTTGTCGGAGGCATGCAGGATTTCCGTTGCCTAGGAGACGAGTATTGCTTGCGATAATGACATGGTTAAGAAATATTACGAACAATTCGAGCCCATTTTTTGTTTTGTTCCTATTTGTCAGCAGCTTTTGTAAAGTAAAGAAACCAAGAAAATATTGTGAATTTACTGTTATACCACATGACTTTGGCTTATGACAAAGCTCCAGTTTTCAGTGTCATCCCCATTAAAACCAATTCAAACAACACCCTGAGAGACAAAACATAATGTCTTCCCTTAAGAAAAGTAAAGGCTCAGAAACAGTAGGATTTAGTCTGAGAATCAGAAACAGATGGGAGGCAGAGGAAAACAGGTCAGTCTAATTCACATGGAGCAGATAAAGCCGAGAGAAAAGTTTCAAAGCTCTGTTTGCTTTGTTGCCAAGATAGAACGCTATTAAATCTAAATGGGATGTGAGCAAGTAAAAGAGGCTGAAGGCATTGCTTAATTGCTTTGCATGTTCAAAGCAGAGGTCATCGCTTAAACCTCCAAGAGATGCTGAAACACGGACTCTTTCAGGGTGCCTGAGAGGAGGCAGTAGGACAAACTGATGCTAAAGATGAAGCTGAAACTCAATAATTAAGTTTTTTTCTGGCAGTGAGAGGACTTGTGACATGAAATTTGTCTTCCTGTTTTTGTCTCAGGCACTTCTAATAATTCATAAGAAACCATTTTCTAAAATGTCCATACATTTATTTCTGTACACCGTCTTAATCAGTTCAGGGGAGCTGGGACCTGTCTTAGCAGCCAATGGGAAGCCACTATAAACGACTAATAAGTCTAATATATCTTCTACCATTATCATTAGTATTAATATAATTGCCATTTTTCATCTAGTCTACGTGTTGCTGTGTTGGCTGCCTCTCTCTATTGTCCTCTCTTTCCCCTCACCCCCAACTGGCCGAGGCAGAATGCCGCCCCCCCTGAGCCATGGTTCTGCTCGAGGTTTCTGCCTGTTAAAAGGAAGTTTTTCCTTGCCTGTGTCGCCTAGTGCTTGCTCATGGTGGGAATTGTTGGGTTTCTGTAATTAACTTCAGAGTAGGGTCTGACCTGCTCTGTTTGGAAAGCGCTGTGAGACAACTGTTGTTGTGATGTGGCGCTATATAAATAAAATTGAATTGAATTGAATTCAATTGAATATGTCTAAAACGCAAACATGCATAGGAGTGAGACATTTTGGGGGCACATAGTTTTGTGGATATATGATAATGGTTGGATGGATGGATGGATGGATGGATGGATGGATGGATGGATGGATGG